TGGAAGTCACATCCCCACTTACACATTAAGACAACATCATAGTTATGAATTTTCCTTAGTTGGTCTTCTGAAAAGTCTGACACAATTCTTAATGCTGTGTTTTCGAGCAAAGATGATATATCAATACAAGCTTCCACATCATTAACAGCAATAGGTGATGGTAGGATAGTTTGTTTTTTTTCCTGGATCGCCTTGTATGATGGTAATATATTGTGTCCTTTTTCATGCAGAGCTTTCCTTAATATTTGGTACTTATTTCGAATGAGTTCCAACATAAGCGCTATTGCTTCCTCTTCAGTAAAATTTGATTGTGATGTTGGAGTTGGTATACTTTCCACAATTCGCTTAAGTCGTTTTGGTGATGCATTAGGAAGAATAGTGGCAATATGTACGGCATCCATAGGTTGGTTTTCCTTTTTCAGCATTTCGTTAAATGTATCAGCAATTTCCTCATTTGAGATTGAAAAAAGTTTTTGTGTGACCCTCTTTTTTTTGACCTTGAACATAAGTCTTCGTATGACTAGCAAGGCGCTCCTGTTGATGTGTTGTAAGTTGAGATTTCCGTAGTAGTTTCCATCCAACTACAAAATTTTAATCGAAATTTCTTTTGATTTCCATCCACAGACTTACTTTTTACATCAAAAAGTTTTCAATTTTTGATATGCCTGTTTTGTCTACTTTTCTACTATATGTAGTTTTTATATAATTTGAAATGTCTTCAATTCTTTCTGGCCCTTTTGAAGATACACTCCATAAAACGGAACACAACTCTTCGTACTTTAATGTAATCTTCATTGTAGATTTATTAAATATGGTACTTAAAATCTGAGAAGTTTACTTATATACCAATTCTTGTCATTTCCGATACAGGTATTCCAAAGTAAAAAATTACGAATTGTCGACCTATTAACATTTAGGACTATATTACTATAACCTGTAATTCAGTCCTTGATATTTCTTATTAGTGAATGAATCGAAATTATCATTACCTGTATATTTTTACCTACATGATCATAAACGAAACAGAACGAAATGATCTGTCGAAAAAATTTAGGTAAAAAATAGTTATAAATTTTTGAAAATTTAAGCATAATAGGACCTTTCAATTATAAGGATAAGCAAACAAATAGAAAATAGGTAAATATAAGATTTAAATATGTGCTGTCATACTTAATACTAAAATATGAAAAAGATGAAATTAAAGGACACAGGTTTAAATGAACATATTTTTGAATGTAATTGAGATATTGGCTTGAAATTTTTTGTAAAGGGTCGAGAATTTCCATATCTAACTAAAAAATGATATTAAGGGATAAATATGGACTAAATTGTTGTAGCTATCTGCGATCCTATTAAAATTTTGATATAAATCATAGTTTTAGAAATTAAACAAATATGTAATATATGACAAAATCTTTATTTATGAACAAAACTCAATGAAATTTTCAACGCTTGTTAAATTTGTCATTTCAAATAAGAATATGCAAAAAAAAAATTGAAAAGGTCAAAGGGCATCCCGCAATTCCCAAAAATAGGAATGAAAATCCCAAAAATGGGATTTTTTACTTTTTTTGCCCATAGGGTCCACATTTCTTTCAGGGCTGGGAAAATACTTTTGGAGTAAATAGAAAACATATTGAGGTTTCCAAAACTGCTTTCAGTTTTCTGATCCCATCTTTGGGATTTTAGAACATGTCGCCCAAAGTTGAAGTTTTGATAAAAAAATAGGTCATATTCGGAAGGACGCAGTGGCAACATTTTCAAAAAATAGGACAAGTTTTTTACGCCAAAGCGTTCTGCGTAAAGATACCTTTTAGAAAACTATAAAATTGTTATATGTTCTTAATAAAAATTTTATTTTATTAATAAAAGAGTTAAGACACATTTTTGGCAAAAAAACGCCAAAAATCTAAAATTTTTTGAATTTTTAAATTAAAAAACGTATATTTTTGGATCTGTAAACAATATTGATCTGAAATTTTTTGTATATTATTGGAAATTTTGTTGTCTAACTAACAAGAAAAAATTGAGTCCATTTGGTCCAAAATTACGCCCGGTATTCAAAAAAAGGCGGACCAAGGTATGGTAAATTTTGTATCACTAAATTTTTAAATGCCTATAACTCGGATATTATAAGAGATAAGTAGTATGTCCAAGCATGTTTTTTCAAGATCTCGTCGAGCGCTCTCACAAAATATAAAAATCTTTGTATTTGGGTGAAAAACAAAAAAATGGCACGAGTTTAAAAATTTTACATGTCGTAGGTACCCTACTTTGAGCCGCCACAGCGCCGTCCCTGGGGCATCTGCAGGGTTCATCTTCAAAACTTAAACTCGAATACTCCTTGGCTACGCTCACGCCAAATTTTATCCCGATCGGATCAGCCGTTTAGAAATGCCAGATTTATTTCCAAAAAATTTCCATTCTGCCCCACTGTGTTACGTAAAAATGAAATGAATCTGTATAATGAGATGCGAAATGAAATCATAAAAATATGCAAAACTTTATTTTAAACTTATATTGAGTTAAAAATAACAAAAAATATGGAAAAACTTATAGCAATTGAGTAAAGTTTTTTATATTAAAAAAAAAAGATAATTTCTTATTTTATAAAGAATTTATTGATAATACTTTTTTGTAAATGGAATGTATTTTTTTATATTCTGTTTGTTTTATGAGAAAGGCCATAATTAAAAATGAAATCACAAACAAATTTTTGTAAAATAAAGAATAGATTAAAGTTTATAAAAAAAATACTGTAGCAGAAATTTCAAAAAGTGGACTTGACTAAAGCCTAGACACTAGACTAGACTATATACATACTAGAATATACACTAGACTATAAATAGACTATAGACTAGACTTACTAGATATAGACTAGACTATAGACTAGACCTTACTAGACTAGACCTATAGAACTAGACTATAGACTAGACTATACTTAGACTAATAGCTATAGACTAGAACTATAGACTAGACTATAGACTAGACTATTAGACTAACTAGACTAGACTATAGACTAGACTATAGACTAGACTATAGACTAGACTATAGACTAGGACTATAGACTAGACTATCGACTAGACTATAGACTAGACTATAGACTAGGACTATAGACTAGACTATAGACTAGACTATAGACTAGACTATAGACTAGACTATAGACTAGACTATAGACTAGACTATAGACCTTAAGACTATAGACTAGACTATAGACTAGACTATAGACTAGACTATAGACTAGACTATAGACTAGACTATAGACTAGGCCTATAGACTAGACTAGACTATAGACTAGGACTATAGACTAGACTATACTATAGACTAGACTATAGACTAGCTATAGACTAGACTATAGACTAGACTATAGACTAGACTATAGACTAGACTATAGACTAGACTATAGACTAGACTATAGACTAGACTATAGACTAGTCTATATTTTAGTTTATAGTATAGTCTAGTATATTGTATAGTCTATAGTCTAGCCCATAGTCTAGTTTAGTCTATAGTCTACTCGAAATATATATTCTAGTGTATATTCTCTAGTCTAGTCTGTAGAGTCTACAATAATTCATTTCATTTAATAACATTTCACACCACATTGATATTAAAACTTTTAACAAAGTTAAAAAAAACTATAAAACAAATATTATGATTCTGCACATTATAGAAAAAACGTGTCTTAAAGTTGTTTCTTTCTACTTTATTTGCAATTTTCAAGCAAAAATTTTAAAACAAATAAATACTTGTGCAAAATATGCATACATAGATACATATGTATGTATGTTTGTATGACAAAACAAAAGTTATCTAAAAGTTTAATGCCAAAAAAGCTATAAATAGAAAAACACAAAACTATGTACTTCAAACATTTTTATTTGTTAATACTCGACTTGTCAGATTGCCATTGTCACTTTGCCAGCAAAAATTTCCATAACTAAAGACTAAAAGAGCTATAATAGTTTTTTGAAAAATTTTGACAAAATTTTTGTTTTATTTATAAATTTCTTTTAGTGTTAAAGATGTGACATAAGCAGTTGCTTGTATGTATATAAAAAAAATAAAGACGTGCCAAAATGACAAATTACTGTGAACAACTAAATAAACGCTAATTTCTTTGAAAAGGAGGAAAATATAAAAGAAAAAACTTTATGTTCTTTGTTCTAGCATGTAATTTAATGTCTTGGCCCAAATGTCTGGCTGAAACATGTGTATTTTGCTTTCTCTCTTATTTTGGTGTTTTATTTCAGTTCATGTCATTAAAGTGCCAAAAAGTTAAAAGGGGCTTTTAGAGGGGATTTTATCTAGTTTTTTTAATGGGGAGGCTTTTGTTTATACCCTACACCACTTTAGTGGGGAGGGTATATTGGATTTGTGCTGATGTTTGTAACATACAAAAATATTCGTCCTAGACCCACCTTAAAGTATACCAATCGGCTTAGAATCGTTTTCTGAGTCGATTAAGCTATGTCCGTCCGTCCGTCCGTCCGTCTGGCTGTCCATGTAAACCTTGTGCGCAAGGTACAGGTCGCAATTTTCAAGATAATTGGATGAAACTTGGCACGCACCTTTTATTTGACCCAAGGACGAAGCCTATTGAAAATGGTTAAAATCGGTCTATTATTTCACCTAACCCCCATAGAACAGAACCCCCTGAAAAGGGCTTCTGAGCTCATAATTATGTTAAATATACAGATATGATGATCCTACTATATTGATGATCCTACCAAATTTCATAAAGATCGGGCCCCATTTGACCCTAGCTCCCATACAAAGTCCATATTAGCCCCCATATAAAGCCTCTTTCAGAAAATTAGTTTTTCATCCATAAATTGCTTAAATGTATCGGAACAAGGGAATATTGAAGATAAATGCTTTATTATGAAAAATAAATCACATTTAATATTCATAACTGGTGTAGGGTATTATACGGGCGGCCATGCCCGACTATACTTTCCAACTTGTTTTTGTTTGTAGGATTGTTGTATGGAACTTACCTTTGTCCATCGACCGCAAATTGTTCATTTTGTAGATACAATTTGATGTATGGCTGTCTCGTATGTAATTTATAACGGCAATTTAAGGCTCTTGGATATAAACCCGGATACGCAGGTGACTGTACATAACATGTTTGCAAGCGACAATCGCGATATTCACGTTCACAATATGAGCTGTAAAGGGAAATGATAAAAATGTGAAAAAAAATATACAAAATCAATAAAAATAGTTTAAGAAATTTTTACTTTAAAATGTTCCCTTAAATAATTTCAATTCTTAAAGCAGTTAAGCAAATTATTTAACATTTCGAATTATTTTTTGTTCACATTAAAAACAATGTTTATTGAATTTTACGGTAATTGAATTTTCCTTTGAAAGTAAATTCTTAATACGGCCTACAATTTGCCAAAATACCACCCACATTAGCTGACAAAATCGTAAAAGTTGGGTGTTGTTGGCTGTTGGTGGTTCATCAAGAACTTTTGAAGTATTTATTTTCAGGCAAATATATAATTTTATTATTTTGCTCTGCTAAGCTAAACAAATTTTTGTTATTTGTAGTGGCTTTTATTGTTATTTGCCTGAATTATTTTTTTTTCAAAAACAAAATTTTTTTGTTGCGTGTATTATTAAGTCGAAATATGATTATGTTTACACTTCTCTGTATAGGTGGTATAAAAGCAAAAAAACAAAAATAATCATAAAAATTGGTAATAAAATAAAATTATATTATTGGTAACATTACATTACAATTTAGCACATGTACGGTAAACAATTTACATTTTGGGGATCTTAATGTTTACAGGTTGGCATTATTAAATTGGCTTTTTTTTCTCTCTCTATATATATATATTAAATGATTACTTACCCCTGTACGACTTCACCACGTCGATTGGGATATAATTCGGGATGTTGGCCGTAACGTAAATAAACTTCTGTTTGTTGTTCGGCACGCGAATCGAAAGTAAAATAAGTCTGTAATGAAGAAAATGAGGGTAAATGTATTAAATGAATTTGTAAGAACTTAAAGTAGGCAATAATAAAAGAAACTATAGCAAAAATTCTCCTACACTACAGCAAAGAAAACACGTGTTTTAGATTAGGTATGTTTAAGTTCGGTTCTAGTTCTGCTCTAGTTGTGTTCTAGTTCTGTTCTAGTTCTGTTCTAGTTCTGTTCTAGTTCTGTGTCTAGTTCTGTCTAGTTCTGTTCTAGTTCTGTTCTAGTTCTGTTCTAGTTCTGTTCTAGTTCTGTTTTCTAGTTTGTTCTAGTTCTGTTCTATTTCTGTTCTAGTTCTGTTCTAGTTCTGTTCTAGTTCTGTTCTAGTTCAGTTCTAGTTCAGTTCTAGTTCTGTTCTAGTTCAGTTCTAGTTCTGTTCTAGTTCTGTTCTAGTTCTGTTCTAGTTCTGTTCTAGTTCTGTTCTAGTTCTGTTCTAGTTCTGTTCTAGTTCTGTCTAGTTCTGTTCTAGTTCTGTTCTAGTTCTGTTCTAGTTCTGTTCTAGTTCTGTTCTAGTTCTGTTCTAGTTCTGTTCTAGTTCTGTTCTAGTTCTGTTCTAGTTCTGTTCTAGTTCTGTTCTAGTTCTGTTCTAGTCTGTTCTAGTTCTGTTCTAGTTCTGTTCTAGTTCTGTTCTAGTTCTGTTCTAGTTCTGTTCTAGTTCTGTTCTAGTTCTGTTCTAGTTCTGTTCTAGTTCTAGTTCTAGTTCTGTTCTAGTTCTGTTCTAGTTCTGTTCTAGTTCTGTTCTAGTTCTGTTCTAGTTCTGTTCTAGTTCTGTTCTAGTTCTGTTCTAGTTCTTTTCTAGTTCTGTTCTAGTTCTGTTCTAGTTCTGTTCTAGTTCTGTTCTAGTTCTGTTCTAGTTCTGTTCTAGTTCTGTTCTAGTTCTGTTCTAGTTCTGTTCTAGTTCTGTTCTAGTTCTGTTCTAGTTCTGTTCTAGTTCTGTTCTAGTTCTGTTCTAGTTCTGTTCTAGTTCTGTTCTAGTTCTGTTCTAGTTCTGTTCTAGTTCTGTTCTAGTTCTGTTCTAGTTCTGTTCTAGTTCTGTTCTAGTTCTGTTCTAGTTCTGTTCTAGTTCTGTTCTAGTTCGTTCTAGTTCTGTTCTAGTTCTGTTCTAGTTCTGTTCTAGTTCTGTTCTAGTTCTGTTCTAGTTCTGTTCTAGTTCTGTTCTAGTTCTGTTCTAGTTTTCTGTTCTAGTTCTGTTTCTAGTTCTGTTCTAGTCTGTTCTAGTTCCGTTCTAGTTCTGTTCTAGTTCTGTTCTAGTTCTGTTCTAGTTCTGTTCTAGTTCTGTTCTAGTTCTGTTCTAGTTCTGTTCTAGTTTCTGTTCTAGTTCTGTTCTAGTTCTGTTCTAGTTCTGTTCTAGTTCTGTTCTAGTTCTGTTCTAGTTCTGTTCTAGTTCTGTTCTACTTCTGTTCTAGTTCTGTTCTAGTTCCGTTCTAGTTCTGTTCTAGTTCTGTTCTAGTTCTGTTCTAGTTCTGTTCTAGTTCTGTTCTAGTTCTGTTCTAGTTCTGTTCTAGTTCTGTTCTAGTTCTGTTCTAGTTCTGTTCTAGTTCTGTTCTAGTTCTGTTCTAGTTCTGTTCTAGTTCTGTTCTAGTTCTGTTCTAGTTCTGTTTAGTTCTCTTTTAGTTCTGCTTTTCTTATTTGTAGTCTGGTCGTTAGTCCGATCTGTAACCAATACACGAATGCTTTACCGATTATACTGTCATTAGTGTTTCTTTAATGTTACTCTTTAAAGTATGCTACACATTTTTTTTTTGCAAATTTCCCTAATTATAATTATTATTTCTATAGACTGTCTCAAGTAATCTTTCGTTTTTTCGTTATCTTTTATAGGAACTTGAGTATATTTTTTTAAGATCATTAACCTTTGTATCAAGTAAACAAATTCCCTGTTTTTAATTTTTTCTTTAGGATTTTTTTTTTTTTTTTTTTTTTGTTGCGAAAAACAAATATTACTTTTTCCACTGAAGCTCTTCATTACTATCATCCAAAACACTCTTGTCTTCTGGATTATAAATAAAAGTTTTTTTATTTGTTTCACCATTAAATGTAAATAAAACTTAGCAACTGCATTTGTGTTTATGATAGAAAGTATAAAAATTAAAAAAAGAAAAACACCCTACAGTTTGGCGTGCATTTTAGAGAAAATATACGTTTATAATTCTCTGTTTAAATTTTCATTTTTTTAAAACAAAATTATGTTTCCCTCCTGTTTTCTGGCAAATTTGTTATGATCTTCACACTTTCTATAAAAATCAGATGGAATAAGTTTTTTTCCATTTCTTTTGCTTTAAATAAACAAATTATAGCATTCCCCTAAGTCGCATTGACCTCAATAACAAAAACTTAATTTTTCTTCCTCCGCTACAACTAGCTGTTTCATTTGTTGACTACCATTGCTGCTGTTGTAGCTGTTGTATCTGCTGCTGTTGTTTTTGTTAATATTTACTATCATTTAAGCAACTATAAACAGGAAGAACTTATGGCTTGATGAGCAACAGCTAACTCATTATAATGGCTTTTTTAGTTTTTTTCTTTTCAGTTTTGTTTTTCTTTCTCAATTTTATCTCTTACTTTATTCTCTGGCACTAGAAATATCCTCATAAACTCAAAGTCATTTTATAAGTATAAATCAGTGTTTGGCTCGAAGAGAAATTGACACATACAAATATAACCGAGTTTGTTTCAAAGCTAAAAAGCTATATATTGAATTCCATAATTGAATAAATTGTTTTATACACGTCCCAACTGAACTCTCTCGGCCCCTGTTGTCAATGCTTGTGGATCACTGATTTATACACTCTGTCTGTTAAGTGTGCTGTTTAGTGGGTTCCTTTCGGTGGGGATGCAGGAAAAATAACTAAAGTTTTTCATAAATATTTATGACTTTATTAAAGGTGGTTTGGATGGAACTGATGCAATAAAAACAAAGCAACTTTCAATTTAAAATCAGTACAGGATTTGTATGCAGTTGTTGCAAAAAGGATGAGTATGTCAAATGTATGAATGAAAATAGGAAAATGCAAAAGTTGTATATTTAAGAAAAACTTGAAAAGAAACTCAAGAGTAGCTTGCTTTATTTTCTGTTGATAAATTATCAAACAAATGCATGTTTAACAGGGCAGAGGGGAACAGAACAGGAGTAGACAGGAGTGCATTTGATTATATAATAAACTCTATAAGGAAGAAAACAAAGTTTTTTTTCCGCAACAGACAAATGCATTCATCAGACAAAGTTTGAAATGATTATTATTTTAAGTTTCATGCAGGCAAACAAACTGTGTAATTCTATTAGATAAAAGAAATGTAAATTATCTTTTTGAACACAAAAATAGATGTACTAGATGTTTTAAAAATTTAACTAGAATTAAACTAGAACTAAACAAGCGGTGAACTTAAACCGAACTAAAACTGAACTAGAACTGAACAAGAACAGAACGAGAACAGAAATAGAACTAGAACTAGAACAGAACTTGAACAGAACTAGAACAGAACTAGAATAGAACTAGAATAGAACAGAACTAGAACAGAAGTAGAACAGAAATAGAACAGATCTAGAACAGATCTAGAATAGAACTAGAACAGAACTAGAACAGAACTAGAATAGAACTAGAACAGAACTAGAACAGAACTAGAACAGAACTAGAACAGAACTAGAACAGAACTAGAACAGAACTAGAACAGAACTAGAACAGAACTAGAACAGAACTAGAACAGAACTAGAACAGAACTAGAACAGAACTAGAACAGAACTAGAACAGAAATAGAACAGAACTAGAACAGAACTAGAACGGAACTAGAACAGAACTAGAACAGAACTAGAACAGAACTAGAACAAAACTAAAACAGAACTAGAATAGATCTAGAACAGAACTAGAACAGAACTAGAACAAAACTAGAACATAACTAGAACAGAACTAGAACTGAACTAGAACAGAACTGGAACAGAACTAGAACAGAACTAGAACAGAACTAGAACAGAACTAGAACAGAACTAGAACAGAACTAGAAACAGAACTAGAACAGAACTAGAACAGAACTAGAACAGAACTAGAACAGAACAGAACTAGAACAGAACAGAACTAGAACAGAACAGAACTAGAACAGAACAGAACTAGAACAGAACAGAACTAGAACAGAACTAGAACAAAACTAGAACATAACTAGAACAGAACTAGAACTGAACTAGAACAGAACTAGAACAGAACTAGAACAGAACTAGAACAGAACTAGAACAGAACTAGAACAGAACTAGAACAGAACTAGAACAGAACAGAACTAGAACAGAACAGAACTAGAACAGAACTGAACTAGAACAGAACTAGAACAGAACTAGAACAGAACTAGAACTGAACTAGAACTGAACTAGAACTGAACTAAAACTGAACTAGAACTGAACTAGAACTGAACTAGAACTGAACTAGAACTGAACTAGAACAGAACTAGAACAGAACTAGAACTGAACTAGAACTAACTGAACTGAACTAGAACTGAACTAGAACTGAACTAGAACTGAACTAGAACTGAACTAGAACTGAACTAGAACTGAACTGGAACTGAACTAGAACTGAACTAGAACTGAACTAGAACTGAACTAGATCTGAACTAGAACTGAACTAGAACTGAACTAGAACTGAACTAGAACTGAACTAGAACTGAACTAGAACTGAACTAGAACTGAACTAGAACTGAACTAGAACTGAACTAGAACTGAACTAGAACTGAACTAGAACTGAACTAGAACTGAGCTAGAACTAAACTAGACGGAAATAGAACAAAATTTTTCTCAAAAAAAATTTTCACTTAAAATTTTTCATTAAAAATTAAAAATTTCACTAAAAATAAAATTTTTCATCAAAATTAAATTTTTCATCAAAAATTTTATTTTTCACTAAAAATCTGATTTCTCACCAAAAATTTGATTTTTCATTAAAAATCCGAATTTTTCATTAAAACTTCAATTGTACACTTAAAATTCATATTTTCACTAAAAATCCCTAAATTGCTTGCCCTTTTATGAGAAGTGCATTTTTTCAATTAAATTTTTTTATTACAATTAAATCATTAATTCAGAATAATTTTATTAAAATTAAATTATTTATAATATTTAGTTTTTTATCTGATTTAATAAAACACTTTTCCTAGTAAATTCATAAAATGTCACACGATTCAATTATTAATTTAACAAATTAGGTTACAAAAAACTACAACTGCAACAGCATAATTAAAATTATTATTAAAATTCATTTAATATGTATATTAAATACATAACAAAAATCAGTAAAATAGCTGCATTTGTACGCATTTTTGACATAAATACAAAAATTCTTCAATTTGATAACACCTTTCATAGAAAAGTTTCGTTAAATTGATGACAAATTTTGTATTTTTTTATATTTTTATTTAAGTATATAATTCTAAAACAACAAATTAGCAAAACTTTCGTATAAAAAATAGTCTACAATTTAAAAACACCTTTTCTTTTAATTGATGACGTTTTTGCCATTGGGAAGTTTCATCAATTTGAAGCCATTTTTTCTTCAAATTGAAGACACTTTTCTCAATTTACAAGGAAGTGTCAACAATAGAAAACTGTTTATCTTTCTTGTGAACACGACTAATGTACAAATTTGAATTGTATATAAAGTATTTGTAACAATGTATGTAGACCAAGCAATAATGCCCATATTTATATATATAAATACAAATGTACATATACATATTCGTTAGTTTACATCGTCAATATTTAATACAATGACTGCGTAAAACTATATTTTCGCTGGAAAACCTGTGATACTGAAATAACATAATTTAGCACATGAATACCAACACTACTTCACATATAGTTACAAAAAATTATACATGTGTTTATATTATTAAACATATAATGTACATTTTCATATCTACATTCCAACACACGTAGTACACTTGGTCGAAGAGTGCATAAATTTTATGAACAATATCATGTATTTTTGTCACCAGAGTTGACATTTAATGCAATACACGCATTTACTTGTTCAGACACATGTAAAATGAGTATGAGAATGTAAATGTTGATACAAGTATGTGTATTCATTAACAGTTATATTATTGATACTTTAACATACACAATACTCGCAATGATGTAAGGAGCGAGGGCAATATTTAAAGTAACTGCACTAGAACTGAATTAGCACTGAACTTGAACTTAACTAGAACTGAACTAGAACTGAACTAGAACTGAACTAGAACTGAACTAGAACTGAACTAGAACTGAACTAGAACTGAACTAGAACTGAACTAGAACTGAACTAGAACTGAAGTAGAACTGAACTAGAACTGAACTAGAACTGAACTAGAACTGAACTAAACTAGAACTGAACTGAACTAGAACTGAACTAGAACTGAACTAGAACTGAACTAGAACTGAACTAGAACTAGAACTGAACTAGAACTGAACTACTGACTAGAACTGAACTAGAACTGAACTAGAACTGAACTAGAACTGAACTAGAACTGAACTAGAATGAACTAGAACTGAACTAGAACTGAACTAGAACTGAACTAGAACTGAACTAGAACTGAACTAGAACTGAACTAGAACTGAACTAGAACTGAACTAGAACTGAACTAGAACTGAACTAGAACTGAACTAGAACTGAACTAGAACTGAACTAGAACTGAACTAGAACTGAACTAGAACTGACCTAGAACTGAAACTAGAACTGAACTAGAACTGAACTAGAACTGAACTAGAACTGAACTAGAACTGAACTAGAACTGAACTAGAAACTGAACTAGAACTGAACTAGAACTGAACTAGAACTGAACTAGAACTGAACTAGAACTGAACTAGAACTGAACTAGAACTGAACTAGAACTGAACTAGAACTGAACTAGAACTGAACTAGAACTGAACTAGAACTGAACTAGAACTGAACTAGAACTGAACTAGAACTGAACTAGAACTGAACATAGAACTGAATAGAACTACTGAACTAGAACTGACTAGAACTGAACTAGAACTGAACTAGAACTGAACTAGAACTAGAACTGAAACTAGAACTAGAACTTGAACGATAAGACTGGAACATAGACTGCAACTAGATCGTGAACTGAACGTGACTAACTGAAAATAGAGACTGAAGAACTAAGGGAAGCTATAACTAGAACTGAACTAGAACTGAACTAAGAACTGAACTAGAACTGAACTAGAACTGAACTAGAACTGGAAACTAGAAACTGAACTAGAACTGAACTAGAACTGAACTTAGAACTGAAACTAGAACTGAACTAGAACTGAACTAGAACGAACGAGAATGAACTAAACTGAACTAGAACTGAACTACTAGAACTGAACTAGAACTGACTAGAACTGAACTAGAACTGAACTAGAACTGAACTAGAACTGAACTAGAACTGAACTAGAACTGAACTAGACTACTAGAACTGAACTAGAACTGAACTAGAACTGAACTAGAACTGAACTAGACTGAACTAGAACTGACTAGAACTGAACTAGAACTGAACTAGAACTGAACTAGAACTGAACTAGAACTGAACTAGAACTGAACTAGAACTGAACTAGAACTGAACTAGAACTGAACTAGAACTGAACTAGAACTGAACTAGAACTGAACTAGAACTGAACTAGAACTGAACTAGAACTGAACTAGAACTGAACTAGAACTGAACTAGAACTGAACTAGAACTGAACTAGAACTGAACTAGAACTGAACTAGAACTGAACTAGAACTGAACTAGAACTGAACTAGAACTGACTAGAACTGAACTAGAACTGAACTAGAACTGAACTAGAACTGACTAGAACTGAACTAGAACTAGAACTGAACTAGAACTAGAACTGAACTAGAACTAGAACTAGAACTAGAACTGAACTAGAACTAGAACTAGAACTGAACTAGAACTGAACTAGAACTGAACTAGAACTGAACTAGAACTAGAACTGAACTAGAACTGAACTAGAACTGAACTAGAACTGAACTAGAACTGAACTAGAACTGAACTAGAACTGAACTAGAACTTAACTAGAACTTAACTAGAACTGAACTAGAACTGAACTAGAACTGAACTAGAACTGAACTAGAACTGAACTAGAACTGAACTAGAACTGAACTAGAACTGAACTAGAACTGAACTAGAACTGAACTAGAACTGAACTAGAACTAGAACTGAACTAGAACTGAACTAGAACTGAACTAGAACTGAACTAGAACTGAACTAGAACTGAACTAGAACTGAACTAGAACTGAACTAGAACTGAACTAGAACTGAACTAGAACTGAACTAGAACTGAACTAGAACTGAACTAGAACTGAACTAGAACTGAACTAGAACTGAACTAGAACTGAACTAGAACTGAACTAGAACTGAACTAGAACTGAACTAGAACTAGAACTGAACTAGAACTGAACTAGAACTGCACTAGAACTGAACAAGAACTTAACTAGAATTGAACTAGATCTTAAATCGAGCTAGAACTGAATTAGAACTGAGCTACAACTAGAACTACAACTGAACTAGAAATTAACCAGAACTAAACTTTTCAAACTGCCCCCGTTTATACATTTGTGTATGTGTTAATGATTGAGTGAGTATGCATCTGTGTTTGTTAAGTATGTTCATCAATTCTCGCATACATGTTGACAGTTTGTTATATGACTTAATACTGATTATATTTATGAGTTTGTATTGGTATTATGGATATTTTTATTTGTTCGTTGTTAATTTCCGCCTTTTTCCATTTTCACTTCCTTTTCTTCAGGCAGTGATACTTTCTGGCTGAAGGCAACAGAACAAAAATCAGTAGTGAATATTAAATTAGTAAAAAAAGAACAGCACGGCAAGTAAATTACAAACAAAAAGAAGCAAAAATAACGAATATGAAGGGAAGACCAGCAGCAAGAAAACAGTTGGATATACAATTTTTCGTTTTGGTATTTTATTTTGGTTTAAAAATATTTTATTGCTTAAAATATTTTATTCAAGAGCTAAGTATTATTATAAATATATTTAAACTAACTTACCTGATCTGTAAAGTTGTCTGTGTGAAACATAACTTTCACATAACTCGTCTCACTTATAAATGTTTGAGGTTGTTCCGCTTCACCACAAAACATGCCGGGCTCTCGACGATTGGAGACATCAGTTTTGGCATTACCATCCACAATCTAAAACAAAACCACACACATACACACAAATTTGGCATTAAAAATTGATATAAATTGAAATTCAGCGGAAATACCAGCAACATGTTTGAAAAAAATTATATGAAAAGAATAATGCTATTGACTAGAGTCAATTGCAAAATTAAAAATTTAAAAAAAAAACTAGAAATATAAAAAGCAACCAAATATTTTAGGAGTTTGAAGCTAAAACATAAAAACCATTTTTTTTTTTTGATTTGGTTTGTTAGTTGCTGGAACTAAAATAAATATATGAAGCTGTCATCTAGGGTATGATTATTCCCATATGTCATCATTTATGCTACAGCAGTAGTGGCTAACATTTTTTTTGTTCGGCTGAAAGGCCGTTAGCATATTTTTTCTTATTTGGCTATTTGCTATACACCAGGGAGTTTGTGTAAAAGCAAAAAAAAACGTCTAGTGCTATTTACTGTTAACCAAGCGGAAGTGAAAATCAACTACAAACACACTCACTGTAATGTATAAAATTTTTTATTTGACACATCTAGCAAATGGAAAGAATGAAAACAAAAAAACAACAGTTTGAAGAAAACATTATTTAGTCTTTTGGTATTATTAATATGATGTCCATATGTTGAGCTCATGTCATACATTTATCTTCGAGGAAAAACTGCCAACACTCTCCCATATACACACATAAGATATGTTATCAAATATCTGTGTAAGACAGTGTCTGAGTTGCTGTACTGACGTACATATGTGTATAAAGATAGCACCAAAAATTTCTATGGAAACTCAGTTCTAGTTGAATTCTAGTTCAGTTTTATATCAGTTCTAGTTTAGTTCTAGTTCAGTTTTATATCAGTTCTAGTTTAGTTCTAGTTCAGTTCTAGTTCAGTTCTAGTTCAGTTCTAGTTCAGTTCTAGTTCAGTTCTAGTTCAGTTCTAGTTCAGTTCTGCCAACACTCTCCCATATACACACATAAGATATGTTATCAAATATCTGTGTAAGACAGTGTCTGAGTTGCTGTACTGACGTACATATGTGTATAAAGGTAGCACCAAAAATTTCTATGGAAACTCAGTTCTAGTTGAATTATAGTTCAGTTTTATATCAGTTCTAGTTTAGTTCTAGTTCAGTTTTATATCAGTTCTAGTTTAGTTCTAGTTCAGTTCTAGTTCAGTTCTAGTTCAGTTCTAGTTCAGTTCTAGTTAAGTTCTAGTTAAGTTCTAGTTCAGTTCTAGTTCAGTTCTAGTTCAGTTCTAGTTCAGTTCTAGTTCAGTTCTAGTTCAGTTCTAGTTCAGTTCTAGTTCTAGTTCAGTTCTAGTTCAGTTCTAGTTCAGTTCTAGTTCAGTTCTAGTTCAGTTCTAGTTCAGTTCTAGTTCTAGTTCAGTTCTAGTTCAGTTCTAGTTCAGTTCTCTAGTTCAGTTCTAGTTCAGTTCTAGTTCTGTTCTAGTTCAGTTCTAGTTCAGTTCTAGTTCATTTCTAGTTCAGTTCTAGTTCAGTTCTAGTTCAGTTCTAGTTCAGTTCTAGTTCAGTTCTAGTTCTGTTCTAGTTCAGTTCTAGTTCAGTTCTAGTGCAGTTCTAGTTCAGTTCTAGTTCAGTTCTAGTTCAGTTCTAGTTCGTTCTAGTTCAGTTCTACTTCAGTTCTAGTTCTGTTCTAGTTAAGTTCTAGTTCAGTTCTAGTTCAGTTCTAGTTCAGTTCTAGTTCAGTTCTAGTTCAGTTCTAGTTCAGTTCTAGTTCAGTTCTAGTTCAGTTCTAGTTCAGTTCTAGTTCAGTTCTAGTTCAGTTCTAGTTCAGTTCTAGTTCAGTTCTAGTTCAGTTCTAGTTCAGTTCTAGTTCAGTTTCAGTTCTAGTTCAGTTCTAGTTCAGTTCTAGTTCAGTTCTAGTTCAGTTCTAGTTCAGTTCTAGTTCAGTTCTAGTTCAGTTCTAGTTCAGTTCTAGTTCAGTTCTAGTTCAGTTCTAGTTCAGTTCTAGTTCAGTTCTAGTTCAGTTCTAGTTCAGTTCTAGTTCAGTTCTAGTTCAGTTCTAGTTCAGTTCTAGTTCAGTTCTAGTTCAGTTCTAGTTCAGTTCTAGTTCAGTTCTAGTTCAGTTCTAGTTCAGTTCTAGTTCAGTTCTAGTTCAGTTCTAGTTCAGTTCTAGTTCAGTTCTAGTTCAGTTCTAGTTCAGTTCTAGTTCAGTTCTAGTTCAGTTCTAGTTCAGTTCTAGTTCAGTTCTAGTTCAGTTCTAGTTCAGTTCTAGTTCAGTTCTAGTTCAGTTCTAGTTCAGTTCTAGTTCAGTTCTAGTTCAGTTCTAGTTCAGTTCTAGTTCAGTTCTAGTTCAGTTCTAGTTCAGTTCTAGTTCAGTTCTAGTTCAGTTCTAGTTCAATTCCAGTTCAGTTCCAGTTCAGTTCTAGTTCAGTTTTAGGTCAGGTCTAGTTTAGTTCTAGTTCAGTTTAATTTTTGTGCAGAAAAGTGTCTTTATCTTTCGAATTGAAGACTGTGAAAATGGTGTCCACACTAATACATCGGCCTAAGTACGTGTGTTTTGTAAGTCAGTAGTGGTTATATTAAGCAATAAATTAAATTTGATATCTTTGTCTTTTTTCTTCATTTTTTTTTTGCTCTCCTTAGTTGATGTATTAGTATGTTTGTTAGTTTGTCTTTTGTCATAAATCACAATTCCCTTGAGCCTTAATTCATGGCAAACAATAAATGTTAACAAATTATATTAAGCTTTATATGGATGTCAGACATAAAAAGCTTTAAAGTTAACACTTAAAGTTTTTTTCTTTGTGAAGTAAAAAAGAAGAGATAAAAAATCAATCATAAAAACTAAAAGAAGTAATTGAGTTAATAAAAAGAAACATAATTTAGTTATAGGTTATGTAATGGAATGATTACCTGTAAATAGCCACCCTCACAATGGGTGGCATTCATTAGAGTGCCAATTTTGAACTTTTTAAATCTAAGTCTCAGCACAAAATCCCTGGGAGCACCTTTAAGTGTGCGAAAACGATACCAGCAGGTTAAGGGTCGCCCCACATTTTGATTCGTCACCTCAGGTGAGCTAACATCTTCAAAAATATCCACTGTTTTGTTGCACTGGTCTTTGGTGATATCAGAGGAACCGCCTGGAAAGAAAAACAAAAAGCAAAGTTTTTAGAATTTTACATTTTCCTAGATTTCTGTGGGTTTAAACATCTAAGCCTAAAATTATGTTGTAGTTTTCATTTCTAAGATTATGCTTTGATTAAATGAAATGTCTTTGGGAAAATATTAATTTTCGTTCATTTCACAATATTTCCACAATTATCTTTGTTTAATTTAAACTTTAAATTGTCTCCCTTTGTTTCATTTAATTCTTTTGTACCAAAAAATTAAAAATACAAAAAATTTGTATGCAAAATGTATTCAAATCAACAAAAGAAACTAAAAACAAGTCATGACAATAATAAGTATTATACCACAGCTTCAAAATGAAATCAAATTTTTAAGCAAATCAGCAGCACTAATAAACTCTAACCAGCATAATGGAAAAAACAGACAAATGAAATCACCAAAAAAACAAAAAATCCTTAAAAAAGAAGAACAAATTTCAATTTAAAGTAAAAAAGAAAACAGCAGGCAGATTTAACAATAAAACATGACTGTCACGTTTCAGCCAACAAAAATATTTATGAAAAAAAAAAATTGTCTGCTAGGAAGTATTATTCAAGGGATGCTGCTCTGTCCCAGCTAAATCTTAGTGTTAATATAGACTTACTTTCAGCGTATTCTCTCGAACTAACAAGGGATTTTTTAAATTATTCCTCTGTCTTGTAACTAATACCAGAAAAATGGACAAGAGTAAAGCGCAAAAAAACAAAATTTTACTTAAAAAAACTTCACATCTTCTTTTCCAACTCTAGTCTTCCTTACAAAACAATAAAGCATTCTATCTCTATACTGTCCACATTATAATCAATGGCCTCTTTCCAAAAAACAGCACAAGCAAAAAAAAAAAAAAACGAAATTTCGAACGAAAAAATATGCTAAATTTATAAATTAAAGTGTGAATAAAAAAACACGCCATGTCATATTATCTGCAGCTTCTGTTAGAAGTTTTCAACATTACTTTCTTTATTTCTATTATTCTTTTCTACTAAAAAAAATCGCTAGAAAAAAACAAACTTCCTACACAAGTTTTCAAGTTTGAATGTAATAAAAGGCGGTAACGTGAATTACAAATTCAGCACAATGTTCAGCACTATTGTTCCAAAGTATTTGGACAATGTTAGCAAGAAAAATATTATAAAAAGGTTCTGTCGCTACAGACGTACACGATATACATCTATTAGGCAATAGACTAGAGTACAGACTAAACTCTAGTCTATAGTCTACTAGACTATAACTCTAGAATAGACTATAGACTATAACTCTAGAATAGGACTATAGACTATAGACTAGACTATAGATTAGACCATAGACTAGACTATAGACTAGATTATATACTAGATTATAGACTAGATTATAGACTTAGATTAATAAACTCGACCCTAAGCTACACTATAAACTAGATTATAAACTAGCCTATACCTATAGTCAGGGACTATAGTACTAGACTATAGGAGCTAGACTATAGACTAGACTATAGACTAGACTCTATAGAACTAGACTATAGACTAGGACTATAGCAACTAGGACTATCGGACTAGACTATAGACTAGACTATAGACTAGACTATAGACTAGACTATAGACTAGACTATTAGGACTAGACTATAGACTAGACTATAGACTAGACTATAGACTAGACTATAGACTAGACTAGACTAGACTATAGACTAGGCCTATAGACTAGACTATAGACTAGACTATAGACTAGACTTCTAGACTAAGACTATAGACTAGACTATAGACTAGGACTATAGACTAGACTATAGACTAGGACTATAGACTAGACTATAGACTAGACTATAGACTAGACTATAGACTAGACTATAGACTAGACTATAGACTAGACTATAGACTAGACTATAGACTAGACTATAGACTAGACTATAGACTAGACTATAGACTAGACTATAGACTAGACTATAGACTAGACTATAGACTAGACTATAGACTAGACTATAGACTAGACTATAGACTAGACTATAGACTAGACTATAGACTAGACTATAGACTAGACTATAGACTAGACTATAGACTAGACTATAGACTAGACTATAGACTAGACTATAGACTAGACTATAGACTAGACTATAGACTAGACTATAGACTAGACTATAGACTAGACTATAGACTAGACTATAGACTAGACTATAGACTAGACTATAGACTAGACTATAGACTAGACTATAGACTAGACTAGACTAAACTATAGACTAGACTTTAGAGTAGACTATAGATTATAAAATAGATTAAAGTTTAATTTCATTCCCGGCTACACAATAAAGTTTATGGAGTAGGGTGTAGAAAACTATCTCCGTACATTTAACAAATATTATACCACAAAAATAAATTAAGTACACTAAAGTCCATCATAAAATAGAAAAGAATAAATAATACAAAGCCTAGATGTCAGTATTATAATAAATGAAGGAGGGCTACAGTTAGTTTTTGGTTTTGTATAGAAGTCATGTATACACAAATCTTATACCCCCTCACATTTTTGTCATTATCTTTATTGTAAAGTCATACAGCCATCCTGCTAATATTTTCTTTTTTTTTTTCATTTTTTGCCACTGGCTATTTCCATTTCGCAATTGTTTTTGTTGTAGTGACATAAATGTTGTACAAAAAATGGAGAAACGTAAAATATAAATAATATTACTTTTTACAAAGAATGGCATACAAAAAAAATGGATATATAATCATAGTCATAAAAATAGAAATCAAACACCATAAAAGAAAAACTTTTGCAAAATTATATTCAGTTTGTAGACAACAACTGTTTTCTGTGAAAAATAGAGGAAATTTTGATATAATTTTACAATTTCTATGGAAGAAATTTGTATGAGTTTTGCTGTCGACAGTAGTAATAAGCATATTATATGGAAATTATGCTATTTAAATGAGATGTAAATGATATTAAATAGAATAAGAAAGAGAACACATTATAAACATTCCAGACCACAGACTAGACAATAAATTAGACTAATGTCCAGACTATAGACTAAATAATAGTACAGACTAGAGCAAATGCTACTGACTAGAATGAAATGCTATTGACTAAATGAAATAAGAGTCAAGACTGTAGGCTAGACTATGATCCTAATTATAGTACAGGATAACTAGAATCATTACAATAGAGTAGACGCTAGTAAGGATAATTTGAAAAGACTGCACTGACTTGCTACATATTCACTATCTGCAAAGCAAACCCATTCTGTAGGTCTTATAATGATACAAAATTGTTTCTTATTTACACACATCTTCCTTCAAACCATTAATTACCCGACTTCAAATAAATCCTTGACAACCTCTAAAAGACACAACTTTTCCAAATACAAAATTCAGAGCACAATTTCCTTTAATAAGAAAACAAAGAAACCAAAAGATAAATAGAAAAATAAGCCCTACCAAAAACGTTTTACAAACATTTTTCATTATTAAAAGCCAAAACAAAAAAAAAATTTCAATTGAAAGTGAAAACCACAAGCTAGAAAAATAACAAGAAAATAGAACATAAGTATTATTTTCAACACGACTGATTATGAATAATGGTGACATCAAAAGATTAATAATAAGAAATAAATAAACAAACTACAAGAACAATAAGAAAACCAAAAAGTAGGAAAGGGAAAACCTAAATATAAAGCGAAATACTCCATAACATCCTTTAACAAGAAGCACATACACTACTTCAATTGCAAGGATATTTTCCCCACAAATGTAAATAACGATGAATTCTTACAGAAACAGAGTTTCAAAGGAATTACATTAATACAATTCCATTGTTCTTCGAAATACTGACAGACTATAAACTAGACTATAGGCAAGACTATTAACTAGACCATAAGCAAGACTACAGACAAGACTATAGTCACGACTATAGACTAGACTATAGGCAAGACTATAGACTAGACTTTTGTCCATGCTATAGACTAGACTGTAATCAAGACTACAAGACTATAGACTACAGTTCAGAATATAGTCAAGACAATACTCTAGACAATAATATAAACCATAGACTAGACTATAATCAGAACTGTAGGCTAGACTATAGGCAAAACCATAGAGCAGACTCTAGGCAAGACTATAATAGACTAGACTATAGGCAAGACTATAGACTAGGCAATAGAAAAGACTATGGGCCAAGACTATAGCCTAGACTTCAAGACAATCGATTAGATTACAGCTAAGACTATAGTCAAGAGTATGTACTAGACTGTTGCCCATACTATCGACTAGACAGTAATCAAAACTAGACTATAGTCAAGACTGTAGACTAAACTATAGTCAAGACTGTAGACTAAACTATAGTCAAGACTATAGACTAGACTATAGCTAAGACTATATAATAGACTATACTAGACTATAGAATAGACTATAGCCAAGACTATAGAATAGACTATAGTCAAGACTATAGAATAGACTATAGTCAAGACTATAGAATAGACTATAGACAAGTTTATAGAATAGATTATAGTCAAGACTATAGACTAGACTATAGTTCCGACTATAGACTAGACTGTAGTCACGACTATAGACTAGACTATAGTCACGACTATAGACTAGACTATAGTTGAGACTATAGTCAAGACTGTACACTAGACTATAGTCAAGTCTATAGAATATACTATAGTCAAGACTATAGACTAGACTATAGTTAAGACTACAGTCAAGACTGTACACTAGACTATAGTGAAGACTATAGAATAGAGTATTGTCAAGACTATAGAATAGCCTCTAGTCAAGACTATAGAATATACTATAGTCAAGACATAGAATAGACTATAGTCAAGACTATAGAACAGACAATAACCAAGACTATAGAATAGACTATAAACAAGACTATAGAATAGACTATAATCAAGACTATAGAATTGACTGCAGCCAAGACTATAGAATAGACTATAGTCAAGACTATAGAATAGATTATAGTCACGACTATAGACTATAGTCAAGACTATAGACTATGGTCACGG